GACCGCCTGGATCAGCTCGGGGGTCAGGAGCACGTCGGTGATCTCGGCGCTCTCGGTCATGACAGTGACCCAGCTGGGGAGCTTGGGGTTCTCGCGGGTGAAGGTGAGCGAGGCATCGTAGCGCTCCTGACGGAACTTGCGCATGTGGTTCTTGTGCACGATCGCCCAGACGAAGCCATCGTAGGTCGAGTTGTTGACTTTCAGGGACGAGGTGTCGTTCGCGGGCACGGGCACCACGTCCTTCTCCTTGCCGTCGAAGGTGTACGCGGTGGCCTCGTAAATCTCGGTGGGCGCCTCCCAGCTCTCGAAGAGGAAGCTGAACACAGACTCGGTCCAGAAGATCACCGGGTTGTACCGCTTGGGCAGCTTGACGGACACGTCCACGAAGGCCACGTTCTGGCGACCCGTGGCGTACGACGCAAACTCCTGCGCCGACCGCTCCTTGAGCAAGGCATCCGGGGAGGGAGCGTCCTCGGTCTTGGTGCCCTCAAAGCCAACGACGGCGAACTCATTCTGCAGGGCCGACGCGTGCGCTTGTGCCCAGTCGCGGGCCCGACGCCGGTTCTTGCGAGTGCCCCAGAAGTGGAAGATGACAATCAGCAGGATGATCGGCATGACCATGGCTTCCTGCATGAAGTCCTGCGGCGAGGTCCGCTCCCACACCCGGTACCATTTCGTGTACGGGACCGGGCTACCAGCGCCCACTCCGTGGGTGTTGATGGCCGGAGTGGTGGACGAGCCGGGGACGAGGGAGGCCGGAGAGGGCTCTGGGGCCTCAACGAAGTCGGCAAAATCTAATGGATGGTTGTGTTAGGAAAGGCTTGCGCTGGGGGTGTTACACGGGTCGGTCGGGGCTGGATGGAGCTCAACCCCGGATTTTGGGAAATGGGGTTGCGTGCGTGACTTTACCATCGTCGACCCTGGCCGGGTTGGAAGGCTGCGAGCCTCCAAATAGGTTTTGGAACATGCCCGCCATAACGAGATTTGGAGGGGAATTGAAGAATCCGGGATGTTGACAAGCGAGGATCTGGCGACGTGGCGACGGAAGGAAGCAGACGAGAAGGAAGAGAAGAGGAGGAGGTTTGGCGTTGGGTCGACCGGTTGACGTTTGTCGCAATCGGAGGCTGCCGAGTTCGGCTGGTGGAGCCGCCCTCGGCCTCCAACGCCAGTTTCCACGAGATAAGACCCTCTGTGTATTTACTCCTACTCTTACAACTCAGGTCAATTGCAAGTAAGCAATAGTACAAAGTAGTAGAATTCCTGGTTGGTAGGATGTTTATCCTCAATTGCGGGCCCAATCCTTGAGACTTGGTTCACCTGCAACAACACTGATACTGATAGGAACCAAGGCGAAGAAGAGAGGGAAATGAGAGAAATATTTACAATGTCAAAGAGAGTCGGTCAGCGAGCGAGGTGGTATCCTTGGAAGAAAGCATGTCGCTCACAGAAGCACAAATTGCACAAAACACAACATACACGCCCAATTCTTTTATGGATACAGCCCAATCAATATACAAGTTCTAGCACCCGCTCCAAAGTTCACCCCGCGAGATGATCAGAATAAAAATAAGAAGCAGAGCGGAAAAATTAAAATCAATGTCGTAGCGGTCGTGAATGGCTCCTGAACCTGGAGCCTTGAGGAATGCACTGAGCACAATGGCAGTCCTGATAAGAAGAGAAAAAGGTCTAAGTAGGTGGAGAAGTATGATCATTGACCATACGCCGGAGGAGCATCTTCATGACTTAAACGATCCCAAAAGGCACTGCAATTGCCACCAGGGGTCAACTTCTCATCACGCATGCGACGGGCAATTTCCCCAGCGAGTCTTTCGACCAGCGCTTGATCCACCCCGCTAGAGGTTGGTTTGGAGTCTGTGAACGGGAGGGCTGTCGCAGGTAAGTTGCGGGTTACACCTGCTTCTTGCTGCTTCTCGCTCTCCCGGCGAGAGGACATGTGAGGATGCATAGAACTCCGAGGAGTGGCATCCACGTCAACGACTGCAGGATGACGAGGAGCCGCAGAGGATGATGATTCGCCGACGTCCCGTAACATTTCAGTGGCGATATTACGCCGTGGCATAGCAGGTCTGGATAGACTGGCACGATGTCGTTCAGGGATCGTTGGAAGATGAAGGTCGCTGCTTGGCGAAAGTGGGGGCGTCACTGGATCATCGGTCTGCTCGCTCACCACAGGTAGAGGAGCTGAGTAAACCGATGCGGCGCTCGTAGTCTCCGTATAGGTACTCTCACCACTTACGCTGACGGCATCATCTGTCGTCTTGGGGCGACGCAAATCAACGACGCGCTTCTTCCGCTTTCTCGCGTTGGATTTCGAATGACGTCCTGAACCCAGGTTCAACCCGTAGCTGCTGAAAGTGTGCGTGTTCACAGAAGACCTGCTTTGCGCAGATACCATGCTGGCCGTGTCCTGGAAGGAGGAGGACAGGCCCCCAATCTGCGAATGGGTCCTAGAGAGGACTGAGCCAAGAGGTGACGTCACGCCTCCAGGAAGATCGCCCGAGTCGGAAGGTGAAGTCCACGCGCGATATACAACTTCCTGAATAGATGGAGTGAAAAGCGATAGCGTCCGCTGGGAATCCGTGAGTGCAGCGAGTCGGAGAAGGTTCTTTTGGGAGAAGAGAGAGTGGGTCTCAACGGTGGAATCGAGGGAGAGAGAGGCGATTTCCGATTCATCCAAAGCGTTTCCGGACGCATCGACCGGGTCTTGTGGCGGGCTTGCCAAGGGATCTTGACCTGGTCCTTCGCCTGCAGTGTCCGCAGCTTCATTCTGAAGATCTTCACCAGCGCGATATTCCGGAACCCAGAGTCGAAGGGATAGGCGGTGGATGATAGCGGGCAATTCGTCCATGAACAGAATCCGAAGCTGTGCCTCTATCTCTCTTTGCAAGAAGTCGCGCACAAAGGGAATGGAATCGAAGGTTGAGGAGACTTTGAGAGATTCGAGTGGATCATTGCGGAAGACAACAGTGATTCCTTTTTGCTTGGAGAACACTAATATGACGAAGCCGGAGAGTTTGAAATCGGAGAGAGTGATTTGCAAAGGTATGGTGAGAGGAGTTCTGTAATGCAGCGAGTGAAGATGTTAACAATAAATCTTGAGGGTGCGCGATAGGGTTCGCTTGTAGGAGTCACACTCACGCTGCGGCGACGGGCATGGGAGTCGCGAACGACGGTCGGGTGAGAAGATAGGTGTTGAGTGGATTCGCCTGCACTCGCGTCTTGAGGGTGAGAAAGGCGTCTCCAGTGTATGACATCTTGAAAATGCCCCGAAATCGATCCTCCGCCAGATCGCCAATTTCCAGAATCTCTAGTTCGGGCGGGATGGAACCGAGATTCAATTCAGTCACGATGATATCGTCCACGATGATGGGCGGCTTGGGAGATTTATTCAATGCGGCAGTCAACAGATCTTGGGCACGAGTATAGAAACTCGCGTCCGCCATAAGCGGCGACCAGTTGAAGTTGAACGCCATCGTCGCTCATCGAAAGGATGGAGTCACTTTTTTTTATTAATTCGAACGTGCCGACATGGGGAAGGAATACTGAGAGACGGAACTCAGACAAGGTAAAGAAGTTTAGAAGAGCCTATTTATTGGCCCATTACAAGGAGGAGAGCGACAAGAGGTCGGGGTAAGGAGGGGAAGGAGCAGAGTGATGGAGAAGGGGGAGGAAGTATTGGTGGTGGTGGTGGAGGAGGAGGAAATAGGTCGATGCGCCGATAAGCCGACCGTGAATGGGGAGGAGACTGAATAAAAATGGATGGGCGGATTGAAAGGAAAAAAAGACGAGCGGCGAACATTTCCCGAGGGTTTGCTGGCTCAATCCGGTAATCCTGCGGCGCTCGCGTGATCGACGCGACGGACCTTTGTAGCTCTTGTTATAGCTTCCCCTTCTACCTAAAGGGGTCCCAAAATCATTTCAAATGTAAGAATGATATTGATATTACATCTCTGGAAGGGTTTGACCTGATGCGACCCAGCAGCAGTGTTTGCGACCGCAGCGCTGTGTGGTGTCTTGTGTCTATGAAGAAGCAAGAGAAAAAAAAAAGCTCAGCAGCCAAAAGGGGAAGGGATAACGTCACTAGGCTCAGCTGTCGGCTTTTAGTTTCTTTCTTCCGTTCTGCTCCGAAGACTCAATTGTTATGTTCAATGGGGATTTATGAACAAATGAATCCTGATGACTCTTCTTCTAATTACTGGATGATGGAGTTAACAAACTAACTTGCCTATCTGCTGACCTCTTCCTCCTTCCATCCGTGCATCCTTTGCATTAAACCATCCTTATTCCCGCTTCTCCTGACTGGATCTTCACATTCCAAATGAAAGGCCCGTGCTGGGAAACAGAGTGGGAATTTTTCCTCATTCCCGGTCCACCCGTCCCTGTGAAACTCCCGGCTAGCCCGTGTCAATGCTATTTACAGAGTACGGGTGTAGATTCATTGATATCCTTAACTAGTTACTGTCTCAAAACACAGTACTGAACATGCCCCGCCACCTTACATTGCCCGAAAAGGAACCTTCAGACTATGGTGCTTCAGATCCAGTTCAAGGTTTGTATGGAGGTTGCCCGACGGGTTCTAATTCCTGCCCGCTGGCTTACATGCTGAGGTAGGCAACATTCGCAGTCTGACCTGCAATTCAGCCTGCCCTTTTTCTTGCTAGACAATAAACATGGTGTACTCCGCAGTTGCTCTTGAGATCAAGCCCATAGACAGTTTTGTTGTTTCATGCAGCAAATAGTTCTTGTATATATTATCAAAAGAACTATAGACGCAATAATATATGTCTTGTACTAAAAGATTTCATCATCGACAAGCACGAATTGCAACCCTTTTCTCTATCTACACTTTCGAAATGACCGCTCTCCTTTCTCTGCTCGTAACTCCTTATATTCATTTCCTAAGTACCTCCTTTTGTACCTTCTCCAGTGAGTATGAGACTATGAATGCCAGGTCCGCTTATATAATCCGCTGTTTTTCCCTTCTCCTCAGCAACGACTGGCACTAAGCCTAAAACGGGAAGAGAACAATAAGCTACCTCCGCGGTATGCCAGTGCCGCTGCAGCTGTCTCTTTCGCATCAACGCAATCGATAACCTCCCAGCGTCCCTCACATTAGCGGGCAGCTAGCCCACCGACCATCATCGAAAGTCTCCTCCTACTAGTGAAGCGCACTGAAGCCGCCATGTTTCCGCCTCCCTCCCCGGTCGCTGCGACCGGTGACCAACAGCAATGGATGCCCCGAGTGGCAACCAGAACCCGCACCGTCGCTCAGAGAAAAGTGTACGGAAAGAGGAGGGCAGATGCCCCGAGGGCTGTGCTCGATCAGCGAAGCCCCGCCAAGGCTCCGGAGTGGCTGGACCCCAAGCAGCACGAGAAAGAGAGCGGCGAGGATGCGGTGGAGGGTGTGCGGGTGAAACTAGCGGAGGTGGCGATCGAGGAGAAGAGCACGCTTATGGATCTGACGAGGAAGGGGAAAGCTGAAAAGACGAGGAAGAAGACCTCAGAGGACAGACCTGAGGTCGTGCAGTCAGTTGAAGAGAAGGAGGTGAAGCCTACATCTGCTGGGGATCGGTCCGGCCGAACTTCGAAACCACAAGATGAGCCGGAAACCGCGCAAGTCCAATCGAAGGGCACCGGCACACCGGAAAAAAATACCCGACAAACAGCGAAGCCACGGTACGACATGATGGTGGAAGTCCGAGTCAGTCATAAGATCCCGGCAGAGCGAACCCTACGACGGAACAAGACGTGCGAAGTTCCCGCAGAATCTGAGACGAGGGCATCACGAAGGAACAAGGACAAGCCAGTGGCTCGGGTGTCAACTGGCTGTGTTACGGATGAGAAGGCCAATGAATATGTTCGCCCGATCTTGAATGAAGCGCTGTCCGCGGCTGCGGCGCAGAGTGTCCAGAAGTTTGCCTCGTGGGCTGGCCGGGCGGGGAACCTGTTAGAGGTGGTCAAGATTGCTGAAGGGTCATATGGAGAGGTCTACAAGCTTCGATTACGGGAGGAGGTGTGCAAGAAGGAGATGTCCAGGTCCAAGCTCGCCCGCCTGAAGGCCTATGGCGACGGAGTCTTCAAGGTTGTGCCTCTGCGGGCTCAGAGTGGGCCAGGCTCGAAGAAATTTACCAGCATTGACGAGATCGTGTCCGAAGTCAAGATGCTCAAGTATCTGGATCCGATCCCCGGATTCGCTCGCTTTAGAGAAATCCACGTGGTTCAGGGCCGGTTCCCCGATTCGTTCCAGAGAGCCTGGGACCACTACAAGAATACCAAGGATGACTGCTGGAATCCGAACCCATCCAGTAAAAGGGCCTATCCCGACTTGCAGTTGTGGGCCATTGTGGAAATGGATGATGCTGGCTGCGAACTGGAGAAGTTCGCGTGGACTTCTATCTTCCAGATTTACGATATCTTCTGGGGAGTGGCAATGGCGCTTGCTCGGGCGGAGGAATACGCATTGTTCGAGGTAAGCCTTTGATCTTCTGCCAGCTACAATCAAGTCTGACATCCAATAGCACCGCGACCTACATTTAGGCAACGTCTGTATTCGAAGTACTCGGCCAGGGGGGTGCATGGATCCACCCACAAACAAGGAGATCATGGATCAGTCGTACAAAAGCGGCTTCGGACTCAGCTCCCTCGAGACGACCATCATCGACTATTCTTTGTCTCGCGCACAATTGCACCTCAGCGAGGCGGCCGAGGAATATGAGATCGCCTCGTCAGATCTCGACAAGAAACAAATCTTCGATGCAATCGGACGGGATGAAGATGAGATCATGCTCAGAAACACATACCGATAGTGAGTAGCACCGGAACAATCTCGCACGCCGGCATCACAAGTGCACGATTAGTTGACTATCTTGACCTTCAGCATGCGCGCCCAGCTCTATCACGGTGATCCCCTCAAGTCCGAAAAATGCCCCGACATCACGGGTATCTGGGCCGAGTACGCCCCTCGAACCAACCTCGTCTGGCTCCTCTTTCTCCTCCAGTCCCTCCTCAAGAACAGAAAACCCGAGATCCCCTCGCTCCCAGCACCCCGTCAACCCCTGGCCCCATGCTCACCCAACAAAGGCCTCAAACCGACCGCCACATCCAAGAAGAACACCTTAAAACCACAAATGCCGCCGACGGTGACCCCTGTTCACGCTGATAGTGTCTCAGACCTGAAACAGACGCTCGAGAAGAGACTGACCGCCGTGCTGGAGCTGCTCGACCTCGAACACGGACATGAAGACATGTGCTGTGCTGCGGATCTGGTCGCCTACGCGATTGACTCGCAGTGGCTGGATGAGCAGGACTTTTTCTGATTTCTGGTTTTGCTTCTTCATTGTTCCGCTTTGCGAGGGCGCCGGAGGTTTTCTTTTTACGGTTTTGTTTCCTTCTGCATGATAACATATAGATGGCGGGGGCGTTACGAGCGGCATCAGTTCTTTGGGTTAGAATATACCACTTGGCATCGCTGAACCAATCATGCGGTTTGGATGGAACTATAAGTATGAGACGTGAGATCTAAAAGGGTCAAGGCTTGGCTTTGCAGGATTGAGTAACTGGATCTAGCTGTTTTGGTCGCGCGTAGAGAAGTAACAATGCGTTGATTAGAGCACGCTCCTAATCTGCTGGTCAAGTTGAGGTTCTTTGCCACATACTCTGTTGCGACTCTTGACCGGCGAATACCCGTAGGGCGCACAAGTCATGTTGTACTTATAAGACCATTGGTAATAGCTAACTCTCGATTTATACTTAAGCTTTGTAGATTTGAAGATCTGAACTCATATATCTATCTATCCTATACTCTACATCTATCTACTCTATCACGGGAACCAAGTCCTACCGTACAGTATGTCCCCCTTTCCGGTTGTACGCCGCCATGATATCCCCGACCATCTACAATTTTCCATAGATCTTAACCCTCTCGTCGACAGGCTTCTGCTCTTTCGGCCCCGGCGCTCCCTCGGGGCTGCCAAATACCAACTGTGCACTCAGCTTCCACTCCCTAGGCACATTCCACGCCTCCGCCACCGGGGCATCGATCAGGGGATTATAGTGCTGCAGGTTGGCGCCGAACCCCAGAGCCTCTAGACCAGTCCACACTAGACGAAGGCACCGAAAGTCAGCCGGCCGGCCCATCGACCCACGAGCTACCCTTTGCTGCCGCAACAGCAGCGCACAGGGAATAAGAAGAGGGGGTGTCAAAGCAGGAAAAGGAGAACACAGGAAAAAGAAACCTACAGAAATACTGATGCATAGCATTCGAATGTTGGGCCCATGGTTCAAACTGGTCTTTGTAGAGCGCAAACTTCTCGGAAAATGGCTTGATGTGCGCCGGATCTTCGTAGAAGAGGACCTATCCAACAGAAAAAAAAAAGTCAGGGACCCCCTCTCACTTCAGCTCACATCCAAACCAAGAGCAGATAGAGAGGGCGAGAGATGGGAGCGGGAAGGTGGGAACAGGAACTTGGACTCACCGTCCCAACCGCAGCTTTGAACCCCTCCAGCTTGGGCAAGGTTTGATTCTTCCACACCTGCTCGGGCACCGCGCCCGTCTTGACCAGGTTCTGGAAGACGCCGATCACGAGGTCCCACAGCCGCTCGTGCTCCTTGTGCAGGACGACGACCAGGCGGGTGGATTGCGTGTTGAAGGCACTCGGGACGTGCAGGATGGCTTGCTGCACGAGCTCCTCGATCTGGGCGTCGGGGACGGAGTGGTTGCGGCCCAGTTGGTAGATCGTGCGGCGGTTCTGGGCAAGAGAGATGAGGGATTGTGCGCTGGGAGTCTTAGCTGGGGCAGAGGAAGAGGACGAGGACAGTCGGATTGTAGTTGCTGGAGTCAACAAGGAGTTGGTGGTAGCGGTGCGGGGGAGGGTGAAGCGCACTGCGGGGGTGCAGCGGCGGAGGAGGAGTCGGGGCGTAGCCATTGTGTGGTATATGCACAGGTCTTCGATTGATGGACTAGAATGCTAGGGTCAGTTTGCGCTCTCCTCTTTTTTGGGAATGTGGTGCCGTTCTTATAGTTGTGCCGGATTTACAGTATGCGGATTGCGGAGTCGAGCTCCGACGGGATCTCGTATTCGCGCGGAATTGCGGAGATAGGCTTATTAATAGCGTCATTTGTTCAGGTACGAAATTACCAATGAATGGCATGGCCCCTGGGGTTCTGGGCCGATTGGGTAAGGCTGATTCAGGATGACAATATGGAGCTCGTGTCGGGGGAGGGGGTTTATCATGTCTGATAATCTGTACAAGTAAGTCTGCGATTGCATTTTCTCGATGAAGCTCGTGGGCCATCGTTGTTTTGTTTTCGGATGCAGGATGACATCATTGTCTGCAACTCCTATACCTTTGTACTCATTCATACTCAACGCCGTGAGGTCTTTATGATTATTCGACAATCCTCTTCCCTTATATGCTTCGTAAAGTATGTCTGTTGGAGTAACTTCCGCAGGTAATCCATTAGTATCCATGATCATGGATCCATGATGGATGCAAGCCTGCCTTTCCTATTTCGGACAGCTCGCTTTTTGGCCAGGGAGCTTTGTATGGCTCCTTCCCAACCTTTTGGCAGCTCACAACAACCACAGTGAATGATAAGCTGCTCAAAGGAATCCAAGTGCTCTCTCCCTCTGTCTGGTGAGTTTAGTGAAGCCATCTGGATAACTCCATCGCATTCTTACTGATCTCAATTATGTCGCTCATTTTTAGGACTACGAAGTCGCCCTTTCTCCTCTTCTTCTTCATTCTAACTACAATTCTCTTTAACATCAGCCCCGTGTGCCTGGCCTCGAACGAGGCAGCACGAGATGTACTCTACGGAGCAGTCATCACTCATTGTGCGGTTCCCGGCACCGTGGCCCTCACCTTCGATGACGGACCAGGCATCTACACTCCGCAACTCCTCGACCTCCTCAGCGAGTACGGTGCGCGCTCCACCTTCTTCGTCAATGGCTACCAGCTCTCCAACCACCGCGACATCCTGGTCCGGACCCTGAACGAAGGACACCAGATTGGTTCTCACACGTAAGCGAGAAACCTTGTCTCCTTCCCTTTGCGCATCACCAAGAAATACCGAGAAAGCAAAGACTGAACACGAGACGTAAACTCAGGTACGATCACGCTCGTCTGTCCGCTTTACCATACGGCGAGGTTGTCGAACAAATGCGCCGGCTGGAAGCAGCATTATACGACACTCTCGGCGTGGTTCCGACGTACATGAGACCGCCCTATCTCGCCATCAATGGAGAAGTCCTCGCCGCGATGGGCGAACTGGGATACCATGTGATCAGCACAAGCGTAGATACCAAAGACTATGCGCACGACCATCCAGACTTGATCCCGAGGAGCTTCACGAGATTCCTGGAGGGTCTGAATGCTGGGGGTTCGGTGGTTTTGGCCCACGACACCCATGAGCAGACCGTGGCAACTTTAACACGGGCGATGCTGGATGAGATCGTGGCCAGGGGGCTAGTTCGTAAGTCACATATAAGTCTTGTTAGTGCTTTGCTTTGCTTTGCTTTGCTGCAGCAAATGCTAATGTCACGGGTGCTGGTTCTAGCTGTCCCGGTGGGAGAATGCTTGGGAGACCCGGAGTATAATTGGTATCGTTAATGCCACGAGCAGATCAAGGCAGTCTGTGGACGCCCACTTGGCTGCTTTTCTTTACTTAGTTCTGTTCTGTAATGCATGTTTTAGTCTTCATGCTGTTTTCGGTATTTGTTTCCATAATAAGGTACATCACAGTGGGAATGTCGGGAACTGAGAGGAAGCCTTAGAGGATTAGAGTCGGTTAGGCTGCGCCTTCCGGAAAACAGGATATCGGACTGTCTCGGGATGAACTTTCCTTCGTCACACCTTTATTGTTTGTAGAGCTAATTTTTGATATAGATTTCAGTTGGCTTTTGACCCTTGACTCTTTTACATGAGTACCCCAAAGAAACGACATTTCACGCGCGCATTCACACCCCACTAATAGACCAGGACATACTAGAGGGGTCCATGTACGGTGGAATCATGTCCTCCCCGGGGAAGAACTGGAATAGCTACCTGTAGCTTGAAATTATTAAATTCTACCCATCTAGGTCTAAACTTTTGAATGTACAGTACAACTGTAGGTGTCACGGGAACCGACTCAGAACTTTTGATGACGAAAACTCGAACAAGTATAGTATATGACTTTCTCGATGTACTGTGCAAGACCAAGGTCTGTTAGCAGCTGCCTCCATGCCAAGCATACCGCATGCCAGGTTGGGGGGGGGAAATTCACACAACTGTGTTGGGTTGAGTCCAATATGAAATCATCCAGATCCCCCCTGACCGGCCCTCCGTCCGGAAGGGAAGTTGTACTGCGCGTCGAGATCGTCTTCCTTGTCCTTGGCTGCCATCAAGCCCCGCCATTGGGTGGAGCGGAAAGGCTTCATTGCCTGCTGGAAGGAATGCTTGATCTTCGTCGCGATGCCGGTCATCTTGTGGGTTTTGTTGGACGGGGATTATTGATGGGCCAGGTGTTTATGTGTATGTTTATGTGTGGATGTATGAATGTATGTTTGTGTGTAGGGATGTGTGTATGGATGTATGGATGTGTGGATGTATGGATGTATGGATGTATGGATGTATCACTGTAGGTGTACTTGTATAATGTATATATGTATCGCTAAATGCTGGGAAGAATTGTATGAGGTGAGGAGTAGTGTGCAGAAACGCGGAGAGATAATGAAGGCTCGAAGGCTGGAGAATACTTCCGAGGACGAGGGACTGAGAGTGACGAGTACGCGGCTTTTTGAACCGCTGAGTGGCCAAAGTGGTTGTGTTGCTATCAATGAATTCAGTGGATGAAGTTCAGATCGTGACGTCAGGGGTGAGATCTGGCATCGTCGTTTGCGGTTGTGGTTGGGGAGGGATCGGAGGATGAGAGGATCGCGAAGATGTAAGGATTGAACTCTCGCTAAGATGATTGGTAATGGCAGCTCCGCTGATGAGGTATCTTGCGAAGACAGAAAAAAAGTGATGCAAATTGATTGTGTTGCGTGGGGATTGAAGCTCTAAACCATAAATTTTTGCTTATCGGTTCGTTGGTCTTGTGGTTTGTTGTTGTAATCATAAAAGCTTGTAGCCATTGTTGTCGAGATCCAATATTCCTGGGTATAGGATGACATCATGACATCCTTTTCCTGGTAACATGATGGCTACTTTGTCACATGGTCATGGATGCAAACTATCCAGTGGGCTGAGAGTCATAGCTACATCCATTCGATATGTGCGACAGATAGTGGCCATGTCGACCAGAGGGTGATGTATTTCTTAGGATAATTAGACTGAACAACAATCTGAGTGGTGTCTGATTGATTAGTGTACACGCAGAGAACGCCATTACATGCTCAGCATCGAACATAAACACGTCGGGCCTGGATGCAGCGCAATACTTCCCTTGGAAACCGAGAGACAAGTTCTGTAAAGGCTGGTAAAGAGAACAATTTAAAGGGGCCACGATGGGGGTAAAAGGCCGTTTCGTCGTTGTGAAGTTGTAGGTAATGAATGTGATGCTGTATCGCTCCGTAAAATGATTTCTACAAACCCCAGCCCAGTGCCGACATAGACCTGGACTCGTAGTGGATGAAGCTTGATCAAGCAATTGCTGTCCAGCTCATATTGATGGTTGAGAGTGATTGCGTGGGCCTTGTAGTGCACACTCATTCTCAGATACACTGCTCCTCGCTCCCATGTACCAGCCCTCATCGTTCAGGCGAAGTTCCAAGTCAAGCCAATACTTCGCCTTGCCTCCCGCCCCAGTCTTGAGATCTAGGTCTCCGAGGCGTACTTCGATCCGACTGGTCTCATCTTTCGGTATCTGCATCGAGATTAGCTTAGTGGGTGTGGCAGTCCAGCCAGGAAAAGCAGAAAAACACACCCTGATAAACATTGTACAGTCACGGAGAGTCATCCCGAGCGATTTTTCGACCGAGGTGACAGGAGGACCATGGAGCCCCACATCGCACATGCTCTTCTGGTGTGCCAGGAGTTTCTGCAGGGTACTATTCCGATAGAGTACCTTTGCCAGCCGGGCCTGATCTTTGCATCCCTTGACGAACCGGGCCGCTCGGAGAACATTCTCGAATCTGTCGCTCACCAAGTCCAACGGACAGAATGATGTTTCCTCGGACTTGCCGGTTTTGCGCGCCTTGTTATTCTTCATTTCGCGGAGTGCGCATGTCCGGCACCGTCGAGAGTTAGCTGGGGCTGACGGAGATTGGGCGAGCCACTTAGGCTTCAGCTCGGATAACGTGGTCCCAGGACTAGCGAATGTGGTCATGTCAGTTATCAGAAGCCCGAATGTCTCTGTCGTAGAGAGATATACGCCTTGTCGTCTTCTGGGACGCTGCCCGGTTTGCTCCGCCGCTAGAAGCTGCTCATTGCATAGTTGAACCAGTCCTCTGGGAAGACAGACAAGTTCCTGATCGACGAGCTCTTCTGGTTTAAAAAGAGGCCGAATGCATTGGTCGAAGTTTCGTGCAATCTCTTCGTAGGGGATTCCTGAGCTTGTGTCTTTCCGAAGACGAAGCAGCTTTCCTTTGAAGCTGGCGGGTATACTATAACGATCCGTTACGCCTGATGGCAGGTTGGAAGACACGGTTATCGGAACATCTTTAGGATTTCGCCCCTTATGAGTTTGGGTAGAAAAGAGGATGCGATAGATGATATTGGCGCCCCCTTCGGCAAGATAGACGAGCTCGGCCCCTACCGGGAGCTCCAGCATATTGGGCTTTGGCATTTGTTGAGGGCTCACGGAATCTGTGGTCAAGGTTGATGAATCAAGCAGGAACTCATATCCATACAAATAAAAATTGCCTCGGACTTCCTACAACGCACTTTAAGATGATAGCGAAAGACCAAGGGGGAATGTTCAGCAACGATGTATAGAGTCACGTGGTTGAAGTAGTTCCTTCGAGGAAGAAAAAGTCCGTAGGGCGCAGGCGAAGATATGTAGCAGTTAAGGTTTAAGAAGAGCAGGCTGCGATGTATGAGAATGCCGATCTCTCAAAAAGGGCAAGAGACCTTCCCAAACCCTGCTGTACGAATGTTCGATCCGGCAGCAAGTCAAATAACGTGGGCAGACAGGAGTAGCTGATCTATGAACTAGTGCAATAATCGCTTGTCCCCAGGCTCTCACGTCCTTGTGTCAGTACTGAGCCTCGTTAAACCCAGCCAATTGATGTGCAGGCGATGGAGAATAAGCTGCTGAAAATGAGATCTGATCGCTCCAAATCAGGCTCAGGTGATCTTGCCTTGGAAGTAAGCCTCTGCTCGTTGATTCGTCCGTGAAGGAATGAGCCACTCCAAATATTGATGGAAAAGCCCCCAGCCCGATTTCGTTTAGTGCAAGGGCAACTACTTGGTACTTTGTAGATCTAGGACCTGAGCCTTGTGCAGGGATTTGAATCGCATCAGCCACCGTGGCGGTCGGACTTCCTGTTCTTAGGCGGAAACACTAAGCTTGCAATTCCTTGATCAGCCCTGAAGTTGAATTCAGGGAGTGCGGATCTGCTGACACTAGGCGCGACCCGGCCACCAATATTTGGAAATGGTGATAGAAGCAGCTAGTTTCGAGGAGAGGAGATATTGGACTATCACAGCACCGGTAAACCCAGCTGAGCGCAGGGCGTCGGGCACACGGACGTCGGTAGGAAACCCGTGCTGCCTTGGTTGCTGCACAATAGCTGGCGATAGGCGGTCAAAAATGGATAGCAGGAGGTGATTCGTATTCAATAGATTGGTCGACAATGTCACGAAACCTGCCTAGTTCTCTGCTAACTCCTGCGAGCAATATACTCCAGGGACGGCTAACGTCGATCTATCGGGCTGAGCCAGTGGAGGAATGAATGGTCGATTGAACCGGTCGGCCAACGAGACTGCGTCACACCCGAGTAGAGTAGTAGGCAAACCCACCAGCGTCGAAGTAATTCAAAGAAAGAGGAGAAGAGAAGGAGATTGAAGGGAAAGTGCTAGTTATAGTCCACGATATATTCTCAATAGTGCAGTGGGGGTACGAGGCGACCGAAATGAGGAGTTGGCGAGGATTTAGAAACGCGAGGTGAACCGTGGTTCATTTGAAAGCTCAACGGACCGATTTTGGAGGCATCATATATTGATCCTGGAAGTGAAGTGCAACTCACCCTGGAGACATTTTCGAGACGTCTTCCCTTGTCAACAAGCCTCCAAAGGCTCTCGCCAATCAGTAATTCGACTAATTGTTTGCTTCGGTTCCTTACTCTCCATGCAGCCTCATTGGGGTCTCTTCTTGTCACTTTTGCTTTTGATTGTCTTCCCTTTTTTTTTCTTTCCCGGATGGTCGCCCCGTTCGGCATTGGTATCGGCCCCAGGATAGTTCATTGCATATGCAACGATACGCACCGTAGTGAGACCTAGTGGTCCTCAATTCTGATGGCGGGCGAACAGTGCAGAGAGAATGACAAGATGACGGGCGAAGTAAGAGAGACACTCGTCAAAGCGCACAAATAAAGGATTGCTAGTCTATCCAGTCGAGACCGTAAATTCCGACCAGAAGTGTTCAATTTGGACAGATACAGTTAACTGATGCACCGTATGATTATTGACTCCCCTACGGAGTGGGAAACGAGATTTTGATGAGTTGTTCGCGGCAACCCACAGACCGGTGCATGGCTGGCGATGCGCGTCTTATGTATGTACAATGCTAGAACCGGGTGGACTAAGAATTGCTCATCGGGTCTAGAAGAGAGAATATCTGATGGAGTCAGTCAGGGATGTAGTGAGGGAGTTAATCCTTGTCAAGGTCAATGTTCATATGTTAATGTCGATGAATGGAACGGGGGGAAGTCGAAAACGTGGGAGATGATGTCGCCCCCCCCCCTTCCCCAATTGCCCCTCCGCTGTTCGGCCCCGCGCTGAGGGAAGAGCAACGCGAGAGAAACAACAACAACTGCTGTCATCCAACACCAGAGGTCTCACCATCGTCCACGTTTACTGGGAAATACAGCTTAGGCTTTTGAGATTTTCGTTTGGCTTGCAACAGATAATTGTACATCTTCCGTGAACCTTCAACAAACAGGCTAATCTGAAAATGGACAACATCGCGTCCATCCCAACTCCCCCGCATTGCACGGCGGACTTCTGTTTGATTCCTGTAAGTACACTACAGACTACCTTTGTCGCATCGATTTGCTGTACCTGTGTCCCACATGAGCAGGCCGTCTTCCGTCATCATCGACAAGGTATCACCAGCAAGTAGTGCTTATCTCCATGCATTCATGACATGCCTCAATTTGACGGGACGACTCCGACTGCTTCATGCATATCCATGCATCCATCCATCCATCATATCCCCATCCATCCGTCCACCCACTCACCCATTCTATTCCATGCTATCTTGCCAACACCATATGGAGTGGACCCCCTGAGCCTGAACACTAAGCTGCAGAACGAACTCCCCTCAGTGAGACTAACCCATCCGCGCAGATCGGCACCTCGTCCCCATCAGTGTCCGCCCAAATCGCCGACGTCCAACGCCTAGTCGAGAAGTCGGGCCTCAAATTCGTCATGCACTCCGCCGGGACAACCCTTGGTGAGTCGCGCAGCTGTGTCCCTCCTAATCTCATTTTCCTCTTGCCCAATGCTTTCTTCTCTTTCCGACTCGTGCACGTAATCATCTCATGGTTCTTGGCTAACTGAGGACCCGCCCTCCACTCCCTGTGCTCCTTTTGCGGGACGGGGGGTTGCGGCATCGACTTAAACAGAGGGACCGTGGGACAAAGTTCATCAGGTCATTGGGCAGGCGCATACGATCCTGCATCAACAGGGTATTGTGAGGATTCAGACGGACATTCGGGTTGGATCAAGGTAGAACACACTCTTTCATCCCACTCCTATTTCTCGTCTGGTTATAGATACTTCGGTCTTCGACTCCCCCCTATGATGTCGCATTTTCGAACTGGGAAACGCTCCCAGAAAGGTGATGTCTAATTGGATGGCGTTGGCTAATGTATCATGTCTCCCTCTCGCAGGACCGATAAGGAGCAGTCATTTGAGGATAAGGTGAACAAGGTCCGCTCCTTGCTTGGGCAGCAGTGAGCATCGGTTGTAAGGGCTTTTGTGGTCGAGCTCAATCTGGCTTACGACGACAGATTGCCTGCACCTGTCGGGGCATGGAAGATACGGATGGCCGGACAAGGAAGGTAATTTCATATATATAAGTACAATGATTGACAAGTCGTTAAGATCCATCAAACAAAAAACGCCGTCTCTATGTGCAGTGAAATGTGAACCATCATAAAGCGAAGGAGCGTCATGAGAATCATCCAGATATCACAAAAATTGAAGGAGCGCCGAGCTTGCATTTATGCATGCCAATGAGAGAACTGCAATGCTGCTAATTTGCAAGGAAAGGGAATGAAAAAGAGAACCCAATAAGATGGCAGGCGGGAGAGAACGCGTGCGACAGACTTTAGAGAGCAATCCCACCGCCCAACAAGCTGCCCCAGTCCCCGCCGGCCCAGATCCATTCCCCCATGCTGGGATTCGCTCCGTCCATTGCTTTCTGAACCGTCTCCACCAGTCCCTTGAACACATTCGAGTACGTGGAGGCGGAGCTCGTTTGAGTAGTCGACGTGAGATTGGCGCGTCCGGTAGCGTCGGTGACATTGTTCAGACTGTCCACCGTCGATATGGCGGGTCCTTTGTTGAAGAAGTCCACCAGGATGAAAGTCGGTTGGCGGCCACTGTAAGCACTCTTACACTTCTTCGCAGTATCGCCGAGATTGCCCGTGCCGCCGGAGGGGGCATTAGTCGTGCCCACATAGCTTACATTTGGGTACTCAATGTCGAGGATGGTAGTCTGGTAAAGAAAGTGATTCATAAAGGGAAGCCGGTTGGAAGAAAGTGCAGCAGACAAGTCATTCTTCACGGTCGTTGGGCGGTCGGGTGTACAAGAGAAATTCGACGCCGAGGTCACATCGTAGGGGTTCTCCCAGAGGTAGGTGAACTCGTCCATCAGGTATGGAGCCACCGTGTTGCTCGAGGCGCTTAGCGATGCCACAAATGATATCAACCGAGTACCCTCGTTGATCAGCTCCTGTAGAGTGGGCCAGGAGCTGGGCGCGGAGGTCTGTGAGGTAGGCGTGTAGGTGTAATTCCCAATGCCCGCTGTCTCATACTCCGAGTGAAGATCCGATGCTGTTGCGTCGTCCGAGTTGACCAGCAGGACCGTGACCACTATGCAGCCATGAAATATTAACTCTCCTGCTTTGTCACTGGGTCAAGGATTTCAACGGAGGGTGCGCGACTTACCATCGTTTGGGTTGGAGTCTAGCCATGTTTTGATCTCCGATAGCCATGTGCTTAGCTTGCCTGCATCTAGATAGTCACAGTTGGTATGACATAGGTGCCACTCTGAATCTGACTTGTGCACTTGCGCCGTTACTAGACGTACGCCCGCCTCGAGTTGTAGTGTCGTGTTGTAATATCTGCGCGACTGTCAGTCAGCTCCAAGCTTGAGTCGCGTATGTGGTTCTGAAACTACTCACTGATCTCCAAAGGTTGAGTAATCGGTCGATGCGTCCCGGAGAAACGGACTATCATGTGCGCCTAGATGAGTAATCTCACCGTAGGATTTGGAGCACAGGGACGGCGAGTTGTTGCATGCTGTCTGTCGCGAATGCAAAGCTTTTGCAGCTGCCAAAGGGGCAAGGGCCAGAATTCCCAGTCCTCGCATTGTGGTTGTGCAGGCGACTCTCGGGCGATATGGTATTTAGGTGTAAGGAGACAAATATGCAGGAAAACCGCCGCAAAATGACCTAGGGAATTAGGACGATAACTATAGAATTGATGGAGGAGCGTAGGGATGGCAAAATTAGATGTCAACGGTCAGAGAAGGGTCACGATCCAATGCTAAAGATGAGAGTAAATATGTATAGGAATGATGCAGCAAGAAGAAACAATGACCCCACTTGCGGAACAATAGAAGAGGTTCGCATTTATTTATTGACTGACAGGTTAGAAAAGATAAAAAGAGGGATAATGAGCAAGCTACGACAGGGGGATGGGATGTGGTACTCATGTAAGTCAACGAGAGCACGGTCACTGAGAGAGTTTAGAATCTTGCGTTGATCTGCTTATTGACAGTGGGCCAGAAGGTCTAGGCAG